AGTGTACCTCTGGTGCAAATTACTGACCTCTGTCATCATTTTAAGTGGGGGAACTTGCACAATCGGTGGCTGACTAAATACTTTTTTGCCCCACTGTATATTCACATATGTACATGTAAGAGCTATAACCTGGAACTGGTGGACAGGACCGATGGTGTCTGGCTGAGAAGGTGGCGGAAGCGCGTCTCAAAGGCCTGACCGATGCTGTTGATAACCTCAGTGGCTTGACCCTCGGGACACTCCAGGATGTGACAGGCTGCCATAGAGAGCAAAAGTCAAAGATTATTTTCATAACAAATTTGAGTGTAAGGCCAGCTCAAAGCAAACTCTCTCTCATACCTCTGTCATTGGCAAGGTCTTTAGCTACATAAGCAATGTAATCTGCCATGTCCTGTAAACAAATTGAGAGAAAAAACACAATAAAAGGCATGATTATAAATTATAAATGCAAAAAAATGACTCGATAGACTTTTTCCACGTGGAAAGCTCAATTTCAATTTCAATTTTCACTCATCATTTTCAGTTAATGCTTATCCACGCGTATGCTTCGTCTGAAGAGTTCAGCCTAATACAAGAGCACAGTAAGCTGAATATGGTTCACCATAAAGCTTCTGTGTCAGACTGAATTTAATTCCCCCTTGCTATCTTTCATGTGCCCAAGCCAGCTGAGCAGAGGCTTAGAGCACACTACAAGATTAGTATGGCTAATTAATTAAAAACAGTGAGCTATAATCCCATCCACAGCTTTGCTGGTGTTGTCTTTCCCAGAGAGTAACTACCTTCTTATTTTCTCTCATCTTTAGTCAGTGTATATTTCTGCACATGATTTGTAGTGAATCTGTGTTTGAACTAAAAGGCCAACCAAAATACAGTTTGACCTAGACAGCAGCTAATAACCACATGCCCTACAGACAGATCTGCATTGATTTTTATGTCCATTACACACATTTTTAGGGCACAGGAAATTTTCACTCAGGCCAAATAACTTGAATCCTGTCATGTGGATATATGTGCGCACAGAGGGAAACAAATTAAGAAGAATAGACCTGAGTAATTAGTCTGATAAGCGCTTGGCAAGGTGTAAAGATGATGAAAGCAGTTAGCTCTGACGAGTGCATAAGTCACAGGAAAGGGTTTCATGATTTGTTGCCTTTAGCAATTAATTAGCACAAGAATTACATTCAAGAGTTTTACAATGAGCCAAATTAAGAGTAAAACCGTAAACAGACACATTTATTAAATGACTCCGACTTGAAAGAGTAATCCTGAGAAAACTCACAAGCAGTCACATGATTTATCACTGCTACAGTTCTAGCAGAAATAACCCATCAAATAAAAAAAATATTTTACATTTGCCAGCTCTTTTATATAGTACCAACAAGCTTTAAACACTTAAGGAGGTGGTTGTCAAACTTTTCTGGAAGGCTTTGCTTCTGAAACAGGCAAAACATTCACGTGACACTCTCCCAAGAATGAAGAATCCAAATTAAATTTAACAAAATAAAGGTCAGTATACCCCCAGCACACTCTGAATGCTGGGGATAATATACTGTTGAATATCAGAGGTTCTTTGCATAAATCGTTATTCATTAAAATTAATCACAAGGGAATGTTTAGACATTTTTGCCAAAGTCTGAAGTTTCATTTGTAGCATGCTTTCAGATCCTGACCTTGTACCACTAATTAAAAGAGCAGAATGATCAAGAGTTGAGGCAGGAAATGATTTAATCCTCCATAAATGGTAGTACACCATGCAATAATCAGACTAAATCAAATTACTCACTGTGTGTGTGATTGTGCTCTTGCTACCCTGTTTGTGTCCCTATCTGATCATCAACGTGTACAAGGGGAAAGATTTGAGAATATGAACATACTGAATCTCCACCGGAGGCAAATGAAATGGTCTGCATGGGGTGGTGGGCAATCTTCTGTGAAAGAGAAAAGAGGAAATGATACAATAGCA